ACGTTCGTTGAGGACTGGAAAGCTCGTGCATTTTTTATAGGGTAAAAGTTGATTCAGAATCAGAACTGCCATGTAGTTTTCTGCTACAGGTCTGCTGTAACCAGGGAAGGACAGGCAGACTTCTGCTGTATTGAGCTGCGTGAGGAAAAATCTTCATAATCCACTCAAGGAACGGACTGGACAAAAAAGCGAGAAATCTCAGGAAGCTGACTCGACCTCAACGTTCAAAACGTATCCCGCGATGTATGTTTCAAAGCCTCACTTTGCCATTACCTCATTGGATCTCGTTCAAACTTCATTTTGACCTGCTTGTGATGTGCCACAAAATGGTTCCCAAACACCACTAAACAATTCTATTCAAAGCGCGACACGTTGCCGAGGAACGATGGCCTCAAAGCCGCAGCTCAGAGACCTTTGAGCAATTGTTGTTTCCCGCTGAAGCGATCTTCCCACCGATTACTCTCAAAAACCATTCACTGCGATTGCTATGTTCTTGCTAAGCATTATTCCCTTAAACAGTAATCATCTTCTGCAATACTCTTGGACAGAAAACTCATTCGGTCCCTATACTTCCATTAGCTCTGTGATGGTGTTCAAGATATGCTCAAAATCACTGAGAAAAACCCGCATTCAACTTCTATGGGAAATCGTTGTTTTTCGCAATGTAGCTCTGACCCGCCGGGCTCTGAACATTGAAAAACATTGCTAACAAAGACCAATATAATAATATCCACATTATTACCTCAACCTTTGATTGGCGTCCAGCTTGGGGATGGGAGGGGGTTACTGGGAACCACTCACACAGGCTGGTGATTAAGGGGATGAAAAGGCCGAGAAACCATATCCTGGTAACAGTCACGTCTCTACGGCCCCAAGGTATCGTTATTGTCACTGTTGTCCAACATTTGTGGTGTTGATTTTTTGATAATCCTATTATTGATAATAATTAATATGTCGTAGTTTGAAAATTGTTAGGGAAGGCAAAATTCAAAAAGCGTCGTTACGAGAGAAGGACTACAGTTCATCACTTTCTGCTGTACGATATGCTTGAATCGGCGAAGACTTTGCGACTGGGGTTCGGCGCCGTCATTGTACTTGCTTTCATCTTTACGGTGGTAGCCCTGTTCACACCTGGATGGAGAAGCTATTCGGTAAGTGGTCAGCATCTCAAAATAATTCTGAATCGATAAACAATAAAGCACATGGTTTCGATCAATACCTTTAAGCACTATGCATCATTTATTATTATGACTAGTAAGGCACCAACAAGGCAGTTTGACATATACCATGTATGCGGCAACCAATATGGATTGGTTCCAAGCTCCCTCATCTTGGAAACTCGGCATAATTCGCGATTATTGTGTGCTTTTGCTTCCGCCACGAGATTAATAGGTGGATTGTTCTTGACATAGTACATCTCATATGGTGTAAAAACAAAAACAAAGCATCCGTCGTATAAAAAGGGACCGGCTTCATGTGCCAGCCTACTCTTTTAGGAGTAATGCTGTTGTGATCGGTACATCCTAAGAAGGCGATCCCGATTACGTGCCAATAGTTTTTCGTTGGTACTCGTTTTAGTGCGTACACGTTTTAGCGTTCAGTGTGGGATGAACTCGTACATTTGCTAATCAGACGCCTTCCAAATCTGCTAAACGGCTCTCCGAACGGAGTTATGAAGCGTAATAGCTCAGTGGTGATGGTCCGGGGTGGCAGGTAAAAGCTCGTAGGATCGGTTCCTTTGCAAGTTTGTTGCTTTGCTTTTGTCCGCAACACTTCTAGAGACAAAAGCAAAGCAACCAATTTGCAAAGGAACCGATCCTACGAGCTTTTACCTGCCACCCCGGACCATCACCACTGAGCTATTACGCTTCATAACTCCGTTCGGAGAGTCGTTTAGCAGATTTGGAAGGCAGATTTGGAATCAGCGTCTGGAGACGCATCAGGAGGTATACATTTCATTTCGAACGGCCACTTCGACCTACCATCCTTCCCTTCGAGTACGTAGGAGTAGTAGCGAATTTCGCTCCAGCGCTTGATATGTGCGGCCTTTGAAAACGCCGCTTCAATGTCGAAAGTTTGTCTAATAATATTCCACTTAGCACCTCCGCGCAGAAGTATATTCGCAAACAATTAACACGAATCAATTTCAGACTTTCTCCTTAACTATTCACTGACAATTGAGTTATTACGAAATGAGGTCGAATTCCAACTCAATTTTGACTCCAGAGCGATGCGCGCAAGTGGTGCCGCTCAACTCAATCTCTGCTCTGCGCAATATAGTGGCATGAGAAATGGAAGAACTGTTTTGCACTAACACTCGCGTCTTGCACTTCGTCTGCCAGCCTCTGATTGCTCACGTGCTATTTAGTGAATTATGCAAAGACTATAACGATTTAATCTACTATTTAGCATACGATACTTTCGAAAAGCGAAGCGCGACCAAAAATAAACACTTCCAGCCCATCACAACAAGTGAATTGAATATACATGAAGAAAATTGTTTAAGTAAGTATTCAAACGAAGTTTTGGTAAGCTACTGACATTATAAGAAAGTTTTTAGGCACATTGATGTCAGTGAATCTAAACGAACGATTGCTGAGCTGTAACATCTGGCATTGAACTTATTTTAGAACACCATCTTTCTCATTGACGCTTCATTAACGTCTTGGATTAAAGCTGTTCTTAACGCACACCTTGGTTGAAACATTTTTACAACCAAGTATGATTGACTTGCAATAAACGCTCTACGACAACTGCAAGATGCTACTTGATGAGCAATCGAACAGAGTTCTGAGGAGGTTTTAAACTGCTGCTCTTTTGCAATAATAAGAGCTAATATAAATTTAAAGATTTTTCTGAAGAATAATCTCATTAAAATGGACGAAAGTCATGTAAACAAACACGACATGTTCTGCATGTCTACGGTGCTACCATACGACACTGCAAACATCATATTTTGGGCATAAAATCTCCGCAACCCATTTTACAGATTCGCCACTCCCGACTATTCTTTTCCTTCGGGATGCTAAAATGGTACCAGGCTTCGGTCTGGTTAAACGTACCAGGCTGTGGGGACAGTCGAGTTTTGCATGTGCAAGCGTCAATCGAATGGACGCACTCAGGTCGTTGTATGTGCAGATCTACTCCTATTCAAAGTGTTACTACGATTTTGAATGGAAGTAGAATGCGTGGCGCATTCCAGAAAAACTGACTTATCAACACTATAAGATTGCCTCTCTTTTTTTTTGCTATTCTGGTGTTCATTAAAATCGAAGACTGTAGAATTATCTTAGGTAGGCGCTCCTTGATTTGTTCTCTCGCACTACTGCGGCGACGGAAATCGCGAAGTGGCCGAGTATGAGTGTTCTCGATGGGCTCATGTAAGTCATCGCATTCAAGGACCTCATCAATCACACGCCCAGTAACAGTTACACATCAGCTTCTTCAACAGCACTCCAAAAACACTAATAGCACACAACAGTTTGTTGGAGGTTTCCTGTATTAAACTGGCTTGTTGATACCTATTGCTCCTTAAATTTCTACTTATAGTCAAGGTTCACATGAAAGGTCACACTTGGTCCGTCATCGTGCTTGTGATCCTTCCAGCATCGCTATAGGTATGATATTTTAATTTTGAGTTATTTCTGAAAAAAAAGTGTGGTTACACAATGGTCGTACATATTTTACTGAATATTTCCGTGAAAGAACGATTTTGATGGCCGGTAGGTGGAGGCAATCTAAAGATGTAGTTGATGGAGGGGCAATAGGAGTTGATAGCCTTTCCCTAGTGCGCTGAAAAGTGTAATTTGACCTCCTCCGCTGTCTTCAACAGTGCTTGTTCTAGGTAGAGTCATCGCTACCACCGCAAAGCTACATTAAAGCTGATCAGCTAGGGGTAATGCTGTTGAATGAACGTTCCATTTAGAGGGGGGGAGAGTGAGTTAGTTACTGTGTTTGGAGCTGGGCCTAAGGAGGGAAGGAATCTTGGGGAAGGCATTTTGTATTTTCCCTGACGTTCCTCCCTTCTCCTGTGCTTAATCGTAGTGTCACCTACCATCGGCCCTGCTTTGAATGTTCCTCTCAAATACATGAGCGTCTCGATCAGCCAAACTTATATAGTTGACCCTAAATAACTATCTCAACAAAAACTCCCAGTTTTGAGTGTTCTTATGTCGTTTTTGATGGTATTAGTAGACATTTCTATGAAGGCTACTCTGCGCTGAATTTTCCATCACTACTTCACGAGAACACGCCGACAGCATCTCAAATCTCAGCGCGGGAGTAGTCTTTTGCCCAACGCAGATAATTCTTGTGTCAGACTACGTATAAATCATAGCAGTCGGCTTCACAAAGGATACTCATATTATTATGGCACTGTTCTGTTTTTCCTCTCCACTAAGCTCCTTCGCACTTCTTGTCTTTCGAACAATACACACCTTTATATCCCCCCAATGGCCCTCACCCATTCACGCACGCATACAACTTAAAGGACGAATTCACGATGAAAAAGCAACCCATTTCAAATTAACCTAGGGATGGTGAGTGGTAACGAAGAACCATGAGAAACGGCCCAGAACCCGAGAAATGGGACCCCTTCCTTGCCCGTTGATTTGAGCATTGATGCGACTCTCATCGCTGCCCTCTTCAACACTACGCTCTCTCAGCTATCTAATCACTCGCCACGTATTGAACTACGGCGAGTGATCAGATGATCGGTGGCGGAGATCGCCGACCCGCCAGCTTTGAGGCATGATAGGTCGCCGAGGTCAAATTTTTCCATGCGAATTGCGCGTCAGTTCGCACCCTCAGGAGGTCCGTGGGTCCCTCAACTAGGTCAGTTTCCCTTTCTTCGACCTTCATTCTAATCGTGAATTCCTCCTTTAAGATATTTTTTGGCCATGAGGAACGGTTCCACGTACCTCAAAGATGAGAAGCTCCAATTCTCAATCTACTGCGTCACATGTTTCAAGACAAAATAACGTTTCGAAGAAGAGCAATTCTGAATTTTTAAGCATTTTGCTTACATCCAGCGTAAGCGCTGCTCGAATAAATCTTATTTGATTTTATACATTAACGATGATGTCTTTGCTCTGTTCTCCGATCGTTTCCGTTTGGGCGTCCCAACCTCCACAATCTGCGCACTTGCTTTTCTCTGCCTTTTCATCGCAATTTTGGTATTCGGCGTTCGCTATTCGACTAAAGTCGGTGAGTGCTTACTTTTCGATGCTGTTTCGCAGAACCAAATTTAGCCTACATTCAGCTTATTATCATCGATATCCTATGAGTTGATCGCCAACGTCTTTTGGGCTACTCTTACTGGCTGGCTGTGGTCGGAGCGCTGTTCACTCTTCTCGCCACCATGATCTCCGGCGGACTGATCGGAAGTCAACGGCACCTTTTGAATAGCTGATACAGTCTTTCTGACAAAATCAGCTTGTTCTTTAGCCAATTTGTGCTCACTATTTTCTTCCCAGAGGTAATTACAATTAAAAGCAATTTATGAGTCATCAATATTAAACGAAAAGCTCATTTTCACACTTGTTCAATTCTATTTTCGATTTTTGTAAATTGGCTCTTGGTCTTGTCTGCCTAGACTTGAAAGGTAGATGACACCATATGGGTGGGAACTCTAAGCTTAACTCAGGGAGATCTTTCAGGGCGTGCCAAGCTTTTTGAAACGGTCTTTTGCATGATATAGGGGCACATGCGGGAAACACAGAACCATGGTTAATTTTTCCTGAACGGCCCTCTGAAATACCAGAAAAGGGGTCCCTAGTTCGATTCCTCGTGGTGACAAATTTTTGCATTTCGAGTTGACGTTCCAAAATTCGCGCAAAATGGAGTTAGCATGAATAATTAGTACCATATTCATGATTAGGACCGTCAGTAACCCTACAAAAAGACTTTGACTTAAAAATTGGTGTAAGAGGTGTGACACCAAGCAGCCCCACTGTGGTGTCACACCTTTTTCACCAGTTTTTAATCAAAGTCTATTTGTAAGGGTTACTGACGTCCTAATCATGAATATGGTACTAATTATTCATGCTAACTCCATTTTGCGCGAATTTTGGAACGTCAACTCGAAATGCAAAAATTTGTCACCACGAGGAATCGAACTAGGGACCAGGTCATGGTACACGTCGAACATTTTCGGAATCTTTGCGTACCTATCCTAGCTCTCAAGGGTCCATGGATCCCCCCCCCCCCCACCCCCACCCCCCCGACCCCCTGTTTTTGTTAATAAGAGTGCTAGACATGAATCCGTTGCGCCAGAAAGCGTCTGCGTTCGGCGTCGGCCTTGGAGCGCGGCAGGTATCACCCGGGCGCTGGAAGAACGGGACGCGGCGAAGAAAAAATTTTAGAGGGGAATAACTTTCTTGGGACGTACTTTTTTGACTTGTTGAGGTAGATTTTGATTGTGCCTGAGGTGCGCTTTCCAGAAAACTACAAGGATTGCCTAACTCTCCGGAAAGTACTTCTGTTAGAAGTGGAAAACCCAAAATTCTAAGAAGGCGCACCTTCAACTTTGAAGGCCCATAAAATCTTTCGTATGCGACATTTTGGAAATCTGTAAAAAGTTTCAGAAACTTCAAATATTTCTCTAACAAAACAGTATAAAAAGTTTAGTGATTGTCCCCTTTTTAAAAAATTGTCCCGTTCGAACATTTTTCGTGCAAAAGCGAGTTTTTGGGCTTTCAGCGACCATAACTCACTTCATTTTCATTTCTGTGATGCACTTTTTTCATGGGGTGAAAGTACAGGATTTGCTCTTTCTAACAAGCCCCAAACCGTTTTTCAAAGTTCATTTTTCGAGAAAATCACACGTTCGAACATTTTGGGGGGTTTTGCCGAACACTTTTTTTGAAATCGCGAGTTTTTGGGCTTTAAGCGGGCATAACTCACTTCATTTTCATTTTGTGATGCACTTTTTTCACGGGAGTGAAAGTTGCAGGATTTGCTCTTTCTCACACCAGCGCTAGGAGTTTTTAAATCCATTTTCAGAGAATGCAACTCATCGATTAGTTGATACCAACAAAGGTATTAATTTGAAGCACACACATCAGTTTTTGAGCTTTCAGCAATAATAACTTCCTTCAAAGAACTTGTTGGGGAGGGAAGAACATTTTTGAAGACTACGAGATTTCTGCTTTCTTATGTGTTTTACCGTTGTCTGGAAGAATCGTCCTCAGAAAATCAGGTCCCGAAGAACTTTAATTTCAGCCCCGAGAAGTCAAACCTTTCATAGGGATGCATTCAACTGTTTCTATTCCTCAAGGAAAACACCGTAATTTGCCTAAAACTGTCTCTCTGTGCATAATAATCGAATCTAATGCGGTCTGCACAAACAATTCTTGCCCTCGGATACGCCACGCACGCGCCTGTGGCTGGCAGTCCTCGAAATTGCGACCCCCTTCCGACCAAAATGCGACCCCTTCGTTCGAACAGTTCGAACGGACGGAATTGACCTGCTAGGGACCCCCTTTTCTGGTATTCAGAGGGCCGTTCAGGAAAAATTAACCATGGTTCTGTGGTTCCCGCATGTGCCCCTATATCATGCAAAAGACCGTTTTCAAAAAGCTTGCACGCCCTGAAAGACCTTCCTGGTTAGAGCACACGTATATTCTCTGCACGACATCCCTTCTGCCAAATTACACCGATATCTCAATTTCGAGCATAAAACGAATTAGGCATGTAGCAACCACAACTCTTGAGTTTTACTCATTGCACAAGATACAAAGAAGACGGAGCCAGTCCAAGATCAGCATCTAAATATTTACGAAACTTCTATTTCTTCAGATTAGCGCGATGTATGAACGCGCGGGGTATCAGCCCAGAGCATGGGAGAAGCGAATATCATCTATTTACACCATAAAGTTTTACGTCTTCAAACGCAGGTTGAAAGCTAAGGCAGCGAAACACCCATTTCTATTCTGGCGATATGCAAAACAATTTACCCACTTATCCGAAACCGCCGAAGATCATCGAATATAGATGGGACACACATTGGTAGGAGTTGCAGATTAAAACATTTAAAAAGCATTAGGGTGTACTAAATATGGTCCCTATCGTTTGTGTAGATACAGATTGTACGTTGTACAGTAAAAGGAGTACAGTTCAGGACTTAGTAGTGGTCCTGCATGAATGCTGAATATCAGCCAACGCATTACAAGATCCGAAGATCAAGCATCTATTCCCCCTTCTTATGTGGCACAAGTAACTACTGGATGAACCATGTAACTCATTCACAGAAGTTTAGCTCTACCACGCTGAAATGAGAACGCTGAGATGATCTTATGCTACACTAGGTAAGATGCGAAGCGCCGATCTCTAACAAGAGCATGCCTAACAAAGATCCCCTTGGCGCGACACAAAAATTGCAGCATTCTGCCAACAAAGAAAAAATAAAAAAAAGCCCTATATGACCTCTAACACATACTAGATATAACTATAATCCTGGATAGTAAAAAACCGACGCATTGAGAAGGGATATTCGTAAAATCGAATCATAATCGATGTATCTATGAAACACTAATAGCAAAATCGCTAGCAAAGATGTGCCAAACCCTCGCCAACCAGCCCGAAAATGTAAAATTTTTATATAGAGGAAAAAACTTCCTATGAAGAATAAAATGAAGTGAAACGTAAAAACACCAAGACACAATTAAGAAGTCATTTATTCTAGAAATCGCAGCAAAACTATCGAAAAAGACAACTTTATTCGACTGCACACAAGTTTTTAAAAGATTGTTATTTTTTAAACAAGATGACCGAATATACCTGTTCAATTTGACCCATTGATGGCACGGTAGAATGGATTGAATCTAAAAACACTACTCAAAACTATAACATCATACAAAAAAAGCGAAAACACAATAAACAGGAAAGGCATGAACAAGCAAAATACAAAACCAAGCTGGACAAAACTTAGAGCTGCCTTAGCAGTTGAAATCTCAGATTTCGAACACATTGTCATAAAGATCCATCTTGAACACATAATGGGACTCACTTATGTCTCATTCAAAGAAAAAATTGCTTCAAGGATTCAACCGTGACCCGTACCTTTAACGGCAATGTCAGATGGGAAACTCAAAACTGGCAAGAAATCAGTCGAGTAGATAATTGCTTAAAAACCATAAATAAAGACCTCTCTCATAAATATAACTATACTGTGAGTTTGCGAGAAATAAGTATATGAAAGCATTAAAATCTCAAGAAAAAAACAAGGAGAACTAATAAACAAATATGAGCTGATACTTCGAAATATGCTGAATTATTGAGCTGCTGCACAATCACGAGGCAATATAAATTAACAGGGAAATATACGACCGAATGTGGCAATGGAATATTCTTTATCAACGACTGACAATCATGGTATCAGAAGCAGGAAAAGAACCGCGATTGACTCAATGGCACCAGAACAAGGCGCGATCACTGTTCACGTGGGTTAAAGCAAATCTCGTATTCATGCAAGTGCAAGGCCACGAAAAGCGCATCACTGCGATAATGTCTGTGGGATAAACAGAACTTACTCCCAGTCTGTCACAGGCTAAGATGCAAGATGAAAAGGAGGCTTGATTTTCAATTTTAGTAAAAAATTATTTGGTATGTTGGAGGGTGAGGACATTCCACGCTCTCATGAATCATCTGCTTATGTGTGCTGTCTTGCAGTTCACCAAGATGTCTTACGCCTGGGTCGACATGGATCACCTATATCCATTTTTCTGTTATCACTATAAGTGATCGCAGTGTATTTTCACTAAACTTCAAAAGCGCACGCATTTGAAGTTCCGGACTCAACTGGGAATGCTTCCAAATTCCCATGGAACTTTGGATGGAGACCCAGGCAAATCGGTAGAGTACTGAATACTATTCACAGATATGTAGACCAAAACTGCTACGCGACCTTTCTAGGCAAGTTGTGAGCGGTCAAAGTTGGCAAGAAATGCAGTAAAAAAGTGAGTTGCGGCACCAAACTGGCGCCAGATCGCCTCTCAAAAATGAATGTCATATTCGTGACCAGGCCATCTGTTTACCCCTAACGTACAATTTCAGGAAAAACTAAAAACGCCGATGCGGTCAGATTAGCTCGCCTGCTACACCGACGCTACCCTTCATGTAAACTTGGGCGGCCCACGATTTACTTGGGATGTTCACAAAGCAGTTTAACTCTCAATATTTGTGACTAGCATTCATTACTCTAGTAGGTTATCCCAGTCTCGATTCACAGTTCCATGGGAATTTGAAAACTCCTCAGTCTAAAAACGAAATTGGAACAAAAAATACCGCACTTCGCGGACATTCTTAAAGGCAGCGATTACGATAAAGAAGGAGCGCATAGGGAAGCATATGCATCATACGAAGCAGTTACTTGGCTGCCAAGGAAGCGAGGAATGTGGCGCTTCCACGACGAACGATGCGCTGGTTGCTGAGCAGGACTTCGAAAGCACTCCAAAAGCGATCCGCCCACTAGTTTACTTGGTGATTTGGACGAGCTGCGTTGCCAGCAGCGGCACAACTGGAGCAACTCGATTGGAGCGTGGTTTGGCATGGTGCCACCAAACGCGTTGCGGTGAACTCGTTCATACGTCCGCTTTCTGAGCTGTTACCTGTTCATGAGTGAAAACCAACGGCCAAAAAAGGGGTCCCGTTTTGCGTTTTCTTGACGGATTTCTCCGCTTTTTTCGCCACTGGCGTACCATTGAGCACCACCAGTCTCCTATAACCTTCTTGAACTATTAATCACTGCCTTTAAGCTAGCCGATAGTGGTACTCAAGGTCTCCGGGAAACATGCATTGATGTCTACATATCTTGCTAAGGACAGGTGTTTTCTCAGGAAAAGAAACTTCATTTTGATGAATGAAATTTAGCATTAGTGTGGGCAAATAACCACTACCTCCTATCCAATCGAACTAGTGAAAGCTACACGTAGTAACAACCCATGCACTAACCCTAATGCAGTTCATGGGACTCCTGAATGCTCTACACCCAAGTGTAGAGCATTCAGGGGTCCCATGATAAGGTGGCATTATTGAATGCTACTTCAAGCCGTTCTAAATAAAGTTAAATATTGCCGGACAATACCGACAAACCGGAGCGCGTCGTCACAAAAGTCAAACACATCCTGGAGAGGTTTCGAAGATAGGCGAACACAAAAAAGCCTCTAAGCTTCTTACAATGTCGTACAATGTAGTGCTGCTGAGGACCAGAAGCTAACTAATTTTAACTTAAAACCTAGTGATGGCAACTCCATCCCAATACGGGGCCGTCAGGTAAACAATACCTACCACTGAGGAACATTTGGCTTTCTAAGTCATAATAATGAAATTGTAAAACTAAAAATCAAAACTTCTCTGGGTACTACTGCCACTATCCATATGTCGCAAACCGCTAACCGTGTACGTACCAGAATCCTCAGATGACGATATACGACGCTCTCCGTAAAGCTGTTCTGGCCTTTCCACTACTGGTGAATCCGCCTGCTCCTTTTCCTTTTCATTTATTCCGTTTCGGCATCGATCCTCTTTCTTTTCTTCGTTTATGGAAGACTTGCGCTGTTTACTCGAATTGTAATCTTCAATTCCGATGCTTTCTTTGCGATACGACATCTCGACCACTTTATTTGAGGGATGCGGCGACTCAGCGATCTCTTCCAATCGTTGAATAACATCACCTCCATCGCTGGTTTTCTCTTCTCGTATTGTCTGCAACTCAACCTAAAGCATCTCCTTTATATTAAAATACAATATGCAGCTGAAGTATGGTTTCTACACCATCTGCACTAGTAATGAATATCATAATCATTTGTGATTGCTCATATAGGGGGTGACCACATTACGTTAACGAGACCTCGGCGTGCGTAGTTTTAAACCAGAAAGGAGAGATACTCTCCCCTTCAAAAAGTCAGAAATTGTGCGGTGCAGACCATACATCACAAGTGACGACGGCCTCAAAGTAAATCTGGTTAGTAGCGGTTCCACGACAGCCTCAAAGTTAAATCTGGTTAGTAGTGGTTCATAGTGATAGCTGATTTTTAGTAAATGATAGTTGTAATTACTGTCAACTGATCGAATACAACTGTAACAGGTTAATCATTTCATTGGCAAAAAACATTTGCATTTTCTGGAGGCCGTCGTCACTTGTGGTGTATGGTCTGCACCCGACACTTTCTGGCTTTTTGAAGGGAGGTTATTTCGAATACAAGCTTCACGAAACTTGTTGAAGAGATGTTTCCTCTGCCCTTGTATATAATTTTGACAACACAGTGACGACATGCGATGTTTAGGCTTCTGCATCGTCGACTGGAGAAGCCTCTGGGAGCGAGATCCTCTCGCCTCACATCTGTTTTCTTATGGAAATACGCACTACTCCCATGCAGTAGAATGTTTTCACCACTATTCAATGTTTGAGTGTTCGGGACGTACAGTAGTAGAATCAAAATAGTTCGAAATGACGTGTCACGGCAATGAAAAGGCAAGATTTAGTTGTTTTTTGCTGTGGGGACTTCTGAAAAATTTGACGCGCTTCTTTCAGTAAAACACAACCGTACGTATAAGCCTGATATTAATTTCTGTCACTGGTCTTTTTTTTCCTCGATGGTTTATTTAGTGAACACGACAGTATAGAAACTGAACACAGAATTACGCATTTTCTCAATGCATGGAAAACATCGGCCAAATAAAAGCACATCCGACCAATCTACAAACGACGCCGTTTATAAATATGGATCGTCTATAGAATGAACACAGAAAACTTGGAAGTTGGGCATTCGCGAAATGAATGAATGTAATGGGTGCGGCATACATAGTTTCCACGCTGTTGTCAAGAGTCAAATTTGGTACGTGCTTAGAAGCCCTCACCGATTCATAATTTAAAACAACATTTTGACTATGGTCCGGAAGTGGTTTCACGGTTCAAGTCACTCTCTAGGAGTGCTCGTCAACACTACCGTATCGGGTACATAAGAATATACAGAGATTTGAAAGGAAGTTAGCTGTGAACGGCCTAACGGATAAGGAGAAACGTCTTCGAAGGCTTCGCGATGACGTTGCGTTGCAGTAGATTATCCGAAACCCTTTTGCTATTGACCGCATCATATGGTCACCGCTTATAGACAAAATATCCTACTAATACAAAAAAACCTAAGAAATCCCTAAGAGAAGATCCTTGGAGTAACGAAAGCACAAAATTTGAAGACTCAACTATCGTTCTGGATATAGAATTCTTCAACGGGTCGCTAAGTCATGTGGTGGCACTCCGCTAAGGCATTTAACCACTTGCGCTTCAGGTTATCCATTCCTGTAAAAGTATTTTATACAGGAGATCACGTGTTGCGTAGTAAGAAACGATAGAAAAAAGAACCTTCAAAGACCTTCAAACTGTACCTAAGATGGGTTAAGGACTAAATGCATCAGCTGATCACCTAGCCGATCTACTGTGGATTGCAGACGGTGTTTCTATCTCTACCACATCGGCTAATATCTCAAGCGTAAGCAAAGGCCAGACATACGCTCGTATGCCAACATTTCCTAGTTGAAAACATAACCGTCGCGTATTCAAGAACAGGATTCTAAGGAAACAAAGCGCTTTGATACAAAAAACATGACAACAAGATATTGTATTTGTGAAACTATTACAAAGGCTTGGGCAAGAGAACTGCATATTCGCATCCTTTTTCCATTGTCAAAGACTATACCACCTCCCTCTACTTCCCCCCAGATTTCCTATTTGTGCGCAAAACGGATATAATTCGTTAAGGGTAAACTTAGGAAGAAGGTTTGTCCGGTGAAACACATACTATCAGCAACTACCGCAGCCATTACACATCACCCACAACCTTCAGTGAACCATAATGCGCGCAGAAAAAACAATACTTATTTCTTGTCCACGTGGTCCAGAAAATACATCAAAACTAACCCTCTGCTTAGCGAAACCACAAACCGTGAGTCATGCTCGCTTTTTGCTAATTAACTGAGCTCGCCTTTTCGCAATACGAAAAGCATATACCTACCTTCTTCTATTATAGAATGCTCTTTTTCTTTCAGTTCCGGCTGTATAGGAATATCCTCGGGCATTTTTCGTATTCTCAAGCTGGCAGTAGTCACTAATCCTTTTCGAAGTTTTTCCTGAAAAGCCATTCACACTTTACAATAACTCCAGTCATGACTTGCCACTGCGCGTGGATGCGAGAGCATAGGATCGAAAGCTCGTGAGTTAATCAGCTGCTCACAACTAAATTCTCCCCATTTCTGATATTACTTGGACCTGCCATATTGATTTACGCTATGTACTAGCTATATCGGTAATAAATTATGTTTAACATGAAAATTTGACGCTTTTGGTGCAATCACTTTCATTTTGGCCCGAACCAGATTACGGCATGGAGAAAAGTCATGAAGATTTGTGTGATAGTTAAGTTCCGTTGTTTGTAAACTGCTCACCTCAAAATGTTCTAAAACCCGAGCCCCCATTCTTTTTAATCTGAATACAGAAAAAATTTTCTTTATGAATTGCTCATGTGATTTAAAGGAAAACAGAGATAGTTACATTACGACCATGCTCTTCCAAATGTTGAAGATCGTAGTGTTTGTGATACATGCAAACGCTAACAATTTGAACTTAATGCATATCAAACCACTGGTTCCTTCAAAACTAGATTTTTTCTTTTCGCCTTAGCGTCACCTCGCGCCGTCGCAGGATCCGATGTTCTCAGAAATAGATAGTCGAGATTTATAAGTCCGTCGACCCAAACGATATTTCGTTCAACATGGTCGTTTTTCCTTGAGAGAGGTTTTCGACAGCAGAAGTCCTAATAGCACTGGTAATCTCTGAAACGTTAATCGTTGTTAGAAACAATTAATGCTGACAGCCGCATAGCAATTAAATTGCGGATCTGTTCGCGAAGCTGCGAGATCCACGCTCGCATTTCACTAACAATTCAACGAGGCTTACTATCGAAATATCTTCGATAAGAAATAGCGAAACTCAGAAAAAACACCCAAGACTTGACTATTTTACCAAATTTTGAAAAAGAAGAGTTTCGTCCTAGATTCCCACATCACAGCCTCTCAGCCCTGCCATGTGCACTTTCATTTATGTGAAAGAGTGTAACTGCTCAAAGGAAATCAACGATAGTAAATACACATAAATTCTGTGAAGAAAAAAGTCTCGAGTAAAAAGATTCCCACCAATACGACTTCGGCTAGAATCTCGTACTGCGCACGTTGATGCATGGCATCAATCGCACGAAGTGCCAAGTCAGGTGCACCATTGAACAGTGCCATATACACACCACAGTACAGCCCAAAACAAGCACTATCACATGCTGCGTGTTTTCTAAAAATTCACAAAATTCTATAAGAACACCTCTTATATTCAGGTGACCTATCGCCAACAGATTAAACTATCAAGGAGTTTAGAAATGTTGCCATTTTAAAATCCTTCAGTACAGTGAGTTGAAAAGTGGTACAGGGAAAAAGGCTGTGGCTACTTGAACATTCGTGAGCAACTATTAAGAGTGGGCAGCTGCAAAAACAAGTACTCAAAGATGTGCTAACAAATCGGTCAGCCGCAAACGATGCAAACGGAAGCGCTGGATTCAAGGGATGATAGCGACAGAAAAGGAAAAGAAGTGGCTTGAAAGCCGGTATTCGAGAGAAAAACGCAGGCTTGAACCCGAAGCGATGCTCTCATCGCAACCGAACCCACAACTAAAGAGCCAAATATAAAGACCATGTAACCATGATGTAGAAAGAAACAGATAAAACAAATGAGTAACGAAACAGAGAAGCTTCCGCGTACTGATTTGATATTATTGCATATCAAGGCTGGAACAAGGACCGAATCAGTCTAGGCAAACTGTAGAACAAATGGTACATCGTAGAAATTTGGAGCAAAAACTTGCACCTCGATTCTTCATGCTGCTCAAAGTGCGGCTAGAGCGTTGAGAATGACGCTGGAGGATGCATTCTGCCTTCGATTTTGTTTGACATCTGCCGAAGCCTCACAACGAAAATTAACAAGAACATAGAAGAACAAGAATCATGCGCAAGCTGGCATAACCAGGATTGTCGGACCGTCACAAGCCTCAACAATGAAGCAACAATGATGATTCGCCCCAGTGTTGCGAATAATCACGAAGATAAGCATTCTACAAGGCAAGTGTACGTCAATGTCGACACCTGACAATTAAAGGGGAAAAATGGTTTATCCAGGCAACACAGGCAATTCAGACAACTTCAGTCGATAGGGCTAATGTCCTCATCTCATGTCGTAGAGCATTGGTTCAACACTGCAGTCGCACATTGGAGTACGATTGTATGGTTCAACACTGCAGTCGCACATTGGAGTACGATTGTACCCTTATTCGTATAAAAAGAGAACCCAGCTAACGTCATCAGAAAAGTGATTTCCGCCAGCGATGCCCACATCCTATCATGAAAATACAACACATGGAAACCGTTACAACTGGACAAATTCAGGGATGTGGTACGACCATCACGCAAATGAAGATGGCACTGTCTAGGATGAATGACCGTATTTCATGCGTGCCACTGCATCGAATTCCACAAATGGTAACGTGCTGGATCAATTCAGGAGCCACGTAAGGCTATCCCAGAAAAATGCGGAGACCGAAACTCGCTAAATGAGAATCACAAGTGCTTTGAGAAATGAAGGCGAGGATCGCCATCAATGTAAAGAGTGTATCACCTTCAGTGCTTGCCAGCACGAAAAAAATACGATTCTATTAAGTGAGGATAGCGAAGCCATTAAAGAGGGAAAGCATCCGGGGGGGGTCACACTATAAACTCTGATTCCCTGCAAGAAGCATGCACACCGGTGACGCATAGTCAGCACCAAAGATATTTTCTTCACATGACAATCGAATAACGGTGGTCTATCACAGTGGAAAACTTACTTGGAGTGATCTTCAACAACCTCGCACGAGTGCTCCGATTCCATCACTTTACTGGCGAAATTTGTTTCAGGAAACGTGAAACCACTTTCACATATAGAGAGCGTAGTCAGACAAACATGTCTTGATATAACATCCGATGAAAGGTAGACTAAGACTACCATTGACCTAGAAGTATGACTTTGGAACTATTCTTTCTAACGTCAGAACCGTATATTCAGACCTATAGCATCAAACTTGTTGCTCATGGTTTGCACTAATTGTAAGAAAACTAGTGCCGAAAGGCTGACACGCTGAGATTTAATCTTCGCAAGTTATTGAAAAAAAGCTTGTATTTGCATAAGAAGGGAAAAAGGACAATTAATTGAAAAAAAAAACTTACGCGACTTATACGAAGTCAATATTAGAAACTTCGATTCAGATGTGAATTCCTCAATAGTAGGATAAGGGCCGACACGTACTGTAGTCTGAAGAAAGTGGAATGGGACGATAAATAAAAAATGATTAATTCACGAAGCTCTTCGCACGTAGCACCTTCGCAAATGAAATCAAATCAATCAAAAACAGTTTTAGAAAGAACGCAACACATGATTTCTGACGGTGTAATCAAATAAGGCACCTATAAAGCGATACAAACAATATAGAAATTGGGAAATATACCAGCACAGACGGCACGTTTCCCGGTTTCATTATTGTAACCTCTGGCAGTGCACTGATCTTGGTCGGATCATGATAAATGCTCGGGTACCGAATCGACGGGATACGAATTTCCTCGACCTGAGTAGAAGAAAAATCATTGACATTATAGCAACATCAGAATGAACACAAGTATATTCACAGCAAAGTCACAAAAAAACTAAGCACTCTCATTCACAGGTTGAGAAAATGCTACCGCGATTAGTGAAATTTGAGTGCCGTCTAATACCAATTTTGGAAGAACAACTGTAAGTGCATAATGTGACAAGTTGGCTGAGGCCTGCTTGTGTTCCCCAAGAGGGTAGGGGGTAGAAGTTGGGTCAAGCTAATAGGCTCATTCACCTCCGAAAACTTCGTTTTACTACAAAACTGTGAAACATCAACCCCATGTCATAATTATGAAAAATATTACCAAGTGTTCATTCTATACCTTTTTCGTCATCTTATCCGACTGCGGACCTTCCTCCAATATCTCTTCATTGTACACAGCAAGAAAGAATATTTCGAACACTGCGACGCTTTTCTGTTGCTTTTTAGATAGAGCGTAAAGGTACGTGCCGATGAAAGACGGTATAAATTGTAAGGCGTATTGTCTGAGAGTGCCTGAAATAAGAGCAAGCGAAATAAGCGAGTGCAATATCAAGAAGCTCTGATGCAGAGTTAAAGCGATGGAAACTTAGAGCATCTTTCATTTAACGATAACAAAGCAAAATATAAGAAAATAATAATAATATAAGGAGAAAAGGGCGGAAAGTGGTGTAGTGGCAAATGGCGCGCTTACCACGCGAGCGGTCCGGGGATCAAATCCTGGGTCGTGAGTCGCCCGGGCCAACCAAGCCTTCCATCCCTCCGGGGTCGGTTAATTGGTACCAGACTTGTCTGGGAGGATAAAAACACTGACTTCTACATCGGCTGGCCCCCGCAAGTCATAGTATAGGCCGAATCTCTTTGGCTGGTGTCAGAGTCCGTGATCCGTCGCAGGGTTCGCGCAAATCGCGTGAATCGTGAAAATCGCGAAAATCAACGAAACCTGCAACGGATCCGCGGACTCTGACATCAGCCTTTCAACTGCCACTACGAATGTATTGTACAATGGAAAGTAGAATGCACGCCGCATCCCAAAACGGGAATGATCTATGACAAATGTTTCTATCCGTTATCCATTTTTTGAGAAAATAACAGAATTTTGAACAGGAAAGGAGCAGTAAAAAAGAGAAGCATTCGGTGCAATAGCTCGGAATCCTAATATTGCAGAGGGATGAAGGTCCTGATGCTAGTGAAACATACCCGTTATGCAAAAAAGAAACTAGATAAGTCGACTTTTTTCAACAATGGAAAAAACCGTTTGTCATTATTTCAAATGCTTAGAGTGATTTGTATCAAAACGTCCCCCCCCCCTTCCTCTGGGTATGGCTCGCTAGGACAAAACGCGACTTTTTCGTTTTGCAGCGCACACCTTTTTTGCTGTGGGAACGAATGCTTACTAGTGATCAGAAGTGGACCTGTGCTTCCCGCAGCAAAAAAGCTTCGCGCTCCGAAAAGGGAAAAAGTGGCGTTCTGTAATTGTGACCAACACTCCACCTTCTCCCTATTAACACATAGCAAACAAGAAAGCAAGATGCAAAAGAGGTTAAGAAAAAGAGCTTCTCGCGAAGTTAGTAATTACTAGTTCAGTGAACTGCATAGACTGTATTTTCGCAGTCTGGTGAGGTTATCCTAAGACCTAAAGAGGTTTATTCTAGTTAGGGGCATCGTGATGCAATTTCTAGGTGAACTCGAACATTCCAGCTTTGCACGCATGTCAAGTGACTGCCCTCACCCCCACCCTAGCTTTCTGGAAAAACTGCATCACGATGCCCCCCTAACTGGAATAGACCCACCTAAAGCAAAGCAGTGCGAAGGAAGCCTGCTTCCGAGATCAACCGTCGCGTTATTTGTTTAACTTGCAGCGTCCGTCCGCATCAGTTTAGAGAAATGGTCTTGCTCACCCACAAATACGTCCGTCTCACAAATAGCGAATACGCCCCCCCCCCTGTTCAACTGACCGTACAAACAATAGGCCCTGTTTGTTCCTACTTAGTGTATGAACAACCAGCTCCAGATCTCTGGATAATTGAAATTGTGGATCGTATCCTATCCTCTCCGGAGAACGCGTCCTCCACCGCTAACTCCATCCTAGGGTTGGGGTAGACAGGGTTGCGTCAGGCTGGTTTCAAGCCCGCAATCCGTCGCGCGATTCGCGCGAATTGCAAAGATCACAAGTGCCCATTTGAACATTTGAAACACAAAATATGAAACAAGTAGAATCATGAACAGTCGTCATTCAACCATCGCTATCAAGCAGGGGATTTGAGAGTTCTTAGCAGTACTGATCGGGGCACTTGCCATTTCTGTGACCCGTCGCGCAAATCGCGCGACGGAATTGCGGACTCTGACACCAGCCTCGTAGGACCAGCCATATCTACGTTTTTAGAATCCAGACAGCTCGAGCCCTCAGAGGAAAGAGTGCCTCAACAGGGGAGGGTAGCTACAACATCACGCATTCAATTTATCGAGTTTTATGATGCTACTCTGTATACCCACCCTTGGGATGACGCGGCTGGGAACGCACCTTGTCATCTCTCCAGCCTACTTTCTTAACCCATTTAGGTTCCTGTTTCGCAAGCCATCCTCCGTTAGGCTGTTGTCAGAGTCCGCCGCAGGTTTCGCGCGTTTCGAGCGATTTACGCGATTCACGCGACGGGTCACGGAAATCACAAGTGCCCGATCAATACTGCAAGGTGTTCTCCAATCCTGCCGCCACTTCTGCTTGATGGTTGTGCTGACTGAAGGGTGTGGGTACTTAGGACAGAACGCGACTTTTTCGCTCTTCGCAACGCGACATCGCGCGGCAGGCTGGCGCACCCGCAGCGAAAACAACTACGGTATGAAGAACGCGCGATTGGAGCAGCTTTTTTGCATGCGTGAATTTGTAAGTTTCTGATTCCTTACTTGCCCGCGCTCACACCCATTGTATTGATAAATGCGGTGAATCACTAATTCTGTCTCATTATTGAAAACGTTTTGTGACTTACACGATTCCGGGCGATGCCACTAAAATGGTGTTTTACGAATTATCGGTGAACGAGGGTTTAATAGTGTCGCTTGTGCTTGCATTTTGTGGGTTCATATTGTTGTATAGACATCTGCATAAGGGT